GATGCTCTCTGCACTGTAGAGTTACGATGAGCTTAAATTTATCAGCTCGCGTTCAGGTCTTTCAGAAGCCCTCTTGAGCGACTCTGTGCGGTTCTATTCGAAAGTTACTGGGATGGCCATGCCCTCTACGGAAGAGCTTGTCCGCCATAATGAATACATTGAATTTGATAGTCCTCAAGGCCCATGTATTGGAGTTGTTCCCTAAAGAGGGCCATGCATTCCCAGTGAGCTCCCAATTTCGTGGCGCGTGACGATTTGATCATGGTCATCGTCAGGTGACTGCTCCCAAGCGTGCTGACTCGCAGAAGGCTCTTCAGTCGACAGCAGCCTTCTTCAGGAACGCCTTAAATACCAGCAAACTCGACTGACTTGTATGTTTAACCCCTTCCTATGTTCCTCTTCCTTATTCTAATATTACTACTACTACCCTTACTAGCGTCTGAAGGCATATCCATCGCTATCAGGCTGATAGTATTCTCAGCTTGAGTAGCATTCCTTGTCTCTCTGTGCACGCGTTACAGTGTACGTGAAAGTAGCATCTGTTGTGTTCACGGCGACCAGTGGTTCGGACGGCCCGAGTAATAATTCAAAACGTCGCTATCGAATTGACAATTTCCACGCCTGACCCTGCGATGTCGTTGAGCTCTCCGAGTATGTCGCTACGAGCTCTATCAGGGGTCGTCAAACAGGAGAACTCCCGACACGAGAGAAACGGCAAAGTGTTGAAACTTCAGTTTGATCAGATATAAGCCAGTCCAATTTGGCAGTCTCAGGCGCGTGCGCCGATTGAGTATGACGGCGAACTGGGCGTCCAGAGTGCTATTTACTTTTTTGAAAAAAGGATGGATGAGGAACAGCAGTGAGTGTACTGTAGTGGCATCAATGGCGATCATCGGGAGCAAGCAATTAAGCGTCTCTCGGTGCCGTCTTCTGACGAAGATGGAAGTTTGCTGAAAATACTAACTGACAGTAGCAGCGGAGCGAAGTTTAGTTTGATTTCAACTGACTAGAATACTGCACTATTGATGGTATTCGTACAGTCCGATGTGTTTCGCTTTTGAAACTGCACTTGCGTTGTCACAGTATTACGTTGAATTCACTGGAAGGAACAGGAGCCGTCAACACAACAGTCTCAACGGAACACAATGTACAGCGACAACACCAAGAATAGGAGCAGCAACGCTAATATCGCTAATATCTCGTCACGTTACTTCAAGGCAGCAGCACTGAATAACCCAGTTAGCGTCCGCCGTGAGTGCTGGAGTGGCCTGGGCTCGCTACAGCCGCCGTCGTCTCTGGGACCGGGCGCTTACTGGGTAGGGAATTTCCGTCCGAGGTTGATGATACCATGAACACGCCCACCTATAGGGAGTTGTATTTTGCCGTTGTGGAGTTCTATGCTCATCCCTAGCCTTTTTCTGAGTGAGTCTCTGATAGTTCTCACTGTTACTTGGTGTATCAATAAAATAACCTTCCGGTCTAGCGGCAGGATTCAAACTCCCAACCTGTGTGCAGCTGTCTCTTTCGCCGTGCGTTGCGCAGGGTTTAGTGTTGAGTCCAACTGACCGTACTGAACTCGGCGAGTATGGGTTAACAACAGTTGGTAATTTACATACATGGTAAATGTTCAGATTTGAATCTCTAGCAGACTCTCAGTAAGCCGGCTAGTTGCGCCGATTGGTAGTACTCAAGCGGCTGCTGCCTTTCGCTGAGGCCAGGGATCCAACATTGCTGGCCGAATGGTGTCTAAGGAAAAGAAGACGAGTAACCAACAAGAATGTGCCAGGTTGAGTTTTTACGGGAAGACCTCCGAGATGCCTGTGGGGTAACTACCAATACCCGATGAAGTCACCGAGCGAATTACGGAAATACCGTCATCATCGAGTTTAGTACGATGAGGTCTAACAAGATAGACAGTAAAAACAACGGCTGATCACCAGACCGGCCACCTTCCGTTCGATAGAGTAACAGCAAGTTTGGGTCTGCCGAGTCCAGAGTGTACGTAGCTGTGAGCAGTAGAGGCTGCGGGCCGTATCAAGCTACTGTTGTCACGTTGTGAGACGCTATGGTCGTCAGGGGAAGCGCATGTGGGTGTCAAGGAAGGTAGCGACCTGATGAACCCCTAGTGCTGGTCATTGGGAACGTAGTCGCTACTTCGTAGTGCTGAGGGTCCGCTGCGGCTCACGGTAGTTTCCATGAGCGTAGGAGCAGCTACTGTTTGTGGGTTGCTTGCACTTTCTCGACTTATGATGCTTAGTGGGATAGTACCAACTAAGAGGCGCCGGTTGGAGCTGAAGAGATCCGACTACTATAAATATGCACTGACCTCATTAGTCGGCTTTCGCTTCTCTCAAGGCTGCCTAGATTGCTCGGCAAGCAACCGTCTTTAGGAGCCCAGCCAGGATCGGTACCAAATTCCCTCGAGCTCCTAAATGTTCAACTGAGAGGCTACTCGACTGCTAATGTTACTCTCACCTTCCTCTTGTAACGGTGTTGAGATAAGGTATTCGTCTGAGTGCGAATTTGAAGTCTCGTGCGATGGCCTCCTTAAAGGCAGCATCGGTTAATGACATAGGAGGAGAAGCTTTCCAACCCACTAGCAGGAGCAATGTGAAATAGTATGAAGCTTCAGACAAATGGCTACAAGTTGACTTCAACCCCAATAAGGGTCAGTCCTATCATTGAATAAATATACCATCATCAGCATTCCCAGTTGTTCGAATCAGACGTTTGGCTACAGGTTTTCGTCACCACTCGCCGATCCAATGGCGAGTCAGGCCTATCATTGAGTCGAAATACGACATTAACATCACTTTCATATTAGCAGTAATCGTGTGAATAGATCTGAAAGCGCCTGTGGAGTTATCGATCGAAGACATAGCGTTGGCACAAGTTTTTTGCACGCATGCGCACCCCTGAAGCTTAGGTCCCTGGTTCGATCCCCGGTGAGCGTGTTTCTACTGAAAGGTAATCTCGCTCGCCCTGACGATCGATACGCAAGTGAATCTTGTGCACTCGTTGATCGCACTCTGGCTTAACGACTTGAGATTCCTCCACATGGCTGATCATCAAATCATCGTGGATGACTCTGTGGGGCCCATCGATCATGCTGTGATCTCTGAGCTCGCCACTCAGCAAGGAACCTATCCTCAAGGGCTGGCTAATGCCGTGACCCCGCCCGCTAGAGGGGTCAAGAGGAAGAGTGGCGTTAGTGGTGGTGAACGCGGGACTCACGGTAAGCGTAACATTCAGTGATGATTCTCCGAAAAGAAAAATTTCATCTGGCTGTATATAAAAGCCTTCTATGAAAGCCATTATTTTAAGAGGGGTTATCGGCGTTTCCGTTTTTGGTAGCGCCAAATGCAACTCTTTGTGTGTTCAGGTGGGTTCAAACCTAAATCCCACTTCACTGAGAGCGAGAACGTCATGCTCGTGGAGCTCATAATTCGTAATCGATCAGTATTAAAGAGTCGTCGACCGGAGGCACAAGGTAGCCGCTCGGCGTCGTGAACAGCGCGTGATGGCAACTCTTGTCAGTTGAGAGAGCTAATGCTTTCGAATCCTTCACGGAGGCTCTCAATGAGATGAACCCGGGGTCGCCCAAGACGGTGCTGCAAGTGAGGAAGAAAATGGACAACTTGGTTTCCAGAGTGAAAAAGCTCATCGAAGAGCACAGGGAAGTCGGCTACGTCAAGAACAAAATCCCGGTCTATCTCATCAACCTCGCCAACGAGTTCATACTATGGAACCCTCCAGGGGAAGAGGTGCCCAACGTCACCGGCGGCGGCCACATAGTCTCCACGGGCGTCCATGACGATTTCGCCAGTACGGCTTCCTCGAACGCTGGCTTCTCTCACGCCCTGCATGCTTCGGCTGGACCGATACAAACAAGAGAAGGAATGCTCCACAAGCGAAAGCTGGAGTTGGAGTGTGAACTGTTGCTAGAACAGATAAAGAAAATGAAGGCCGAGAATGAGTTCACTGAGGCGAGATTTGGCGGTGTTGGCGTGCTGTGAAAACGCCACTCGTGTTAGAGGGGAGAAGATGCTATTGTGTAGACTATCATATTATAATTGCACCAACGGTGATGCGTACATATTTTGCATTAAATTGTGTCGTGTTGAGCAACAGTTGTTGGGGTGTTAGCCATGTGCATTTGTGAATACTTTCTTGACGACTTG